GCCTTCCTGGGCTCCGTTCTTCCCTGTGAATTGGATCCAGGGTTCCGGATGAGCCCCCGGAAGGAAACCTGCCAAGCGCCGCGGTGCTCCTGGCCGGGCCGGGTCTCTGCAGGCCTGCAGATCAGAGGGGTCAGCCCGGACAGGGCTGGACGGCCCTGCAGATCAGAGGGGTCAGCCCGGGCAGGGCTGGACGGCCCTGCAGGTCAGAGGGGTCAGCCCCGGGCAGGCCTGGACGGCGTGGGCGGGCGAGTCATTCCTCATAACGAGGACCGCTCCGCTTCACCAGTTGGCGCGGTCTCCTTGCGCAGAGGCCATGCTAATCTCTGTATCGTCCAATGTAGTGTCTGTGCGGGCAGCTAACACTAGGGTCTTGGGAGATGACTGGGCCCCCCTCCCCCCAAAGGAGCGCGTCTCCCCGTGGGGCGGCGGATCAGTCTGCACTGAGGTGAGCCCTGGAAGGGCAGAGCATGGGCAGCTCCCACCTCCCAGCGGCTGAGGTTCTTGTGACCTTATGTTCACGGCTTCTCCTGGGGAACACTCCAAACTATGGAGAGGATCGGGTAGTAAAGCCTGTCCGCCCGGCCCTCCGCCCCGCAGCACGCGGAGGGGGCTGAAGGGCGGGTGCTCTGGGTGCTCCCCAGTTTCAGGTCCAGCCCGGCTGTGGGCAGGGGGCACCGCTGGTGACCAGCCGTGTATCTCCTGCAGGACCCCAGGAGGCAGCCCCCCGCCCCCCGCCTTCATAGGTCTCCCAGAGCTGCTGTGTGAACACAAGAGAACCTCCTCCTGGCATTTCCTACTACACGGCATGTCTGCAGTCGGCAGAACCCGCTTGCTCTCCACCCCCCGCTGGAGCACGTGGGTCAGGTGAGCTGAAGGGTGGTTCACTGGGATTTCTGGAAGGCTCTTGCCTGTAGCCAAGTTCAGGTCTAGCAGTTTAATCATCTTTTGAAAATTCAACTGCATGATCTCCAAGAATGCTCCAACTCCAGACCCAGTCGGTCCAGCGCCAAACCTGCAGCTGCTCTCGTGGCAGCAGTGGTCTGAGCTCCCCGGGCCGCACAGACCACCCGTAGGACAGGGACGAATGCCTGCCCTGCGGGGAGGACGGTCACGATTCTCAAGCACAAGGAACTGGCCGAGTCAGAAAAAAAGGGCCAAAGCATGTGCATTTAGAATTTATTAAGAAAGCTGTCAATCTGAACAGGAGGGAACATTTATCTTAAAAAATAACATCTGCAGGAAAACAGCACAAGGCACTGAGTGCACGTCACGCCTCCCCCGTCAGAAGGGCTGGAACGGCAGCGGAGCCTCTGCTACCGGGAGGCTCTGCACGTCCTCTGGATCCGACTTCATTATACAAAAGGCCGCTTGGAACAGGTATCAAAACCCTCCATCAAACACTTTTCAAACCCGAGGCCCCTAGAGGTGCGTTCCGACGGCTTCACAGTGTAGAACCTGTGCCCACCGTGGTCCCTGCAGGACAGCAGCGTCCGACCACACGGTGCCCACACTCGGGCCACCATCGCAGGCGCCCTGGGAAGGCTGCAGGGTGGGCTGAGCCAGGGGGCACTGAGCAAAGGCAACAAGGCACGCGGCCCTGTCCAAGGCAGTCATTTCCTTTCGGCTCATTTAGTGTTTCCTTTATGTGGGAAATCAAGGACAATCGATCAAACTTAGAATGAACGTTCTGGAACAAGAATGGAAGACTCGTATCACAGAACTGCTGTTTCCATGTTCAGCACTTAAAACCATGGGTGGCTTTTATAAGCACGCCTTCCAGTGGGTCATGGTCTTAATGCGGGGGTTCGCCCAGGAGCAAGGGCTGCATGGACAGAAACCTCGGTGACGCTAGTCCGCTGCTCCTCGCTGCGGCGAGCTAATAATACTGTTCTCAGTCGTGAATTAGCATCTCGTGATAAACAGCTTTACTGGGGAGACTGCGTATTTAAAGACACAGTGGCATTTCACATCCCGTGAGCGGGGACTGCAGGATGTAAACAGAGCTGCGAGCTAGAAGCTTCTCAGGACTCCTCCTCCCCGACCTCCTTGATTTCAGAGATTCTGTCTATAGATTTAAGGATTTCAGCAACAAGGTTCAGTGTCTCAGCTCCGGAAACCAGCTGCCTACGAGGAAAACACTGGCATCACGAACTGCAACCACACTGATCAACAGAACACGAGGGACCAGCAGACAGACCGGAGGCCAGCGCGGGTCCTCCAGGCCTCAGCTCTCCCCTGAAGAGGCCTTGCCGTGAGCATGTGGGCACCCCACCCACTAGAGCACCCCTGCTGTGCACCCCGCTGCCCGCAGCTCAGCCAGTGGGAGGAGCGTGAGGACTGTTTGTGACCCCTGCTGTCTCCCAGGAGCTCACTGAGCAATTTGTGGGGGCAGGGGGGACACGGGATGGGAAGGGATTTGTCTTAACGCCCACGCCTCTCAAGTAGAAACAGCCATCACCACGCAGAATGGTGGAGCCTGCTGGTGCGTACACCGTGGCCTCAGGCCAACGGGCCGTCAAGCGCAGCCCATCCTGAGCCCTGAGCCCTGAGCCCCACACTGTGCGCGTGCGCTCACGGTCTGAAATGGCACTGAGCCTGCCACCCCGCCTCCTGCCACTCACTTGATGGAGGTGTGCGCGTTGCTCATGACCATGCGCAGGTTCTGCAGGGCCACGTCTGTGTTCTGCTTCACCACCGTCAGGCTGGCGCCCTGGCCCGAGCGCAGGGCCTCATTTTCCCTCTTGAAGTTGGAGACCTGTGCCTGGGGTGGGGGAGCGGCCATGAAGGGGTTTTATGGTCAACAGGGAGCAGCCACGCACTGTCCACCTAACGCCAACAGGGCACCGTGGGAGAGGAGAGGGCCCGGTCCCACCCTACCGGGGCTCCCAACGTGTCCCTCTGCTCCAGTCTGTCCTGGGCAGCAGCCCATGGGACTGAAATTTTACAAAACTGGACGCGGCCCAGGGTGACCATGGCCCGGGGAGCGGGCCGAGGAAGACTGAGCCAGGGCCTTCATCTGCATGGAGTTTGCCCCGCCCGCCCGTCGGGAGGGAAGAGCCCATCAGAGGCTCTCTGGTGTCTTTTCTGGACTCACTCGAACCCACAGAGACGTGGAGCTCGGGGCCTCGCGGTTACCTGGAGCAAGCTTATGTCTTGTTTCAGTTTCATGACGTGACTTTCTGCCTTTACTGCACGTTTCTGTTACCAAAGAAACAACACAAAAGCATCAGTGGCAGGGGAAGTGCACACGGTGCCCTCGCCCGGTGCTCTGGCCGCTCCCGCCGCAGGCAGGCCCACCTGTGCCTCAGCCCCGCCCCTGCTGGCTGCTGCGACCGCCTGGGGCAGAGCCTGGGTCCGCCAGTGACACACCCGCCTCACAGCCCTGCCCACCCGTGCGTACGGTCATCAGCTCCAGGTTCTGCTCCACCTGCTGCACCACGGATTCCAGGTCGTGGTAGTCACTCTCCTCCTTGATCATTTTTGCTTCCAATTTCCGCTCCAGCGTCCTCACCCTGGCAAAGAACACCCCGCGTCACCGTGGCTCTGCGACCAATTCCGGGGCTGCTTCTAGAGGCACTTCGGCTGGGTTGGCTCGGTAACGGCCACGAGTGCCCACTGTTCGGAACGAGCGGTGTCAGTGAGGCGCAGGCGAGGCGACACCCTCAGTGGGGTCTGAGTGAGCGCCAGCCATGGGCCCTCAGGGGTCTGCCGCTCGGTTGGGACGTTTGAAATACACGGACACAGCAGGGAAACGTGTCTGTTGCCAAGGCCCGACACAGAACAGAACCCAGCCCCAGCCCGAGCCCCAGCCCGAGCCCCAGCCCGTGTACGCTGCTCGCGGCTCCTGTCAACCGCCTGGCGCGCCCTCACGCAAGGCTTACATCTCGGTTTGCGTCTCAGAGAAGTTCTGCACCTCCGTCAGCTTCCTCCTGAGCTTCGCGTTCTCGTCTTTCAGCTACAGAGAGGAAGTCCTGGTTAGGAACTCAGCGTGTCTCCCGCAGAAGGGGTC